TTTCACACACACACACACACACACACACAGAGTGTATGTATGCACAATTAAAGAATGGATCATCTGTAATTTAGACGTAAGATTGGTAGATTCTGGCTCCTAAATCCTTCTTGATTTTAAGGGGCGTAGGAAAGCTTGAAAATACACACAGGAGGCCGATATCTCAGCATTTCAAACACAGGATTTGTCCAAAAAGAAGCCTATTAAGTACGTATCATGTTAAAAATTATTAAAGAATACATAATACAGACAGAGATTTGTATTAAAGGTTTTGCTGAAAACACATTAATTCATCCAAATCTCACATTTTTACACAGACGTCTGCAGTGATTGTGTCCACTGTTTGGGTTCAATGTGCAGTTCATCAGCTGTTCTCTACTGTTACTGTTGTAAATTTAATGTAATATGGAATATACATATGGTGGGTTAGGGTTAGGGTTGGGAACCAGTGCTTTAGAGTGAGAGTAACAACTGTTCTCATCAGTTCAACATTTAGTCAAAACAAAAACGTAAAGTGTCTGTAAAGGGGAGACACATGGGTTGAGATCAGAGGTCAAGAGACCCCTTTAAAAATGGCCAAAATTTAACCTAACTTTAGAGCTTTTTAGCCTCATTCCTGACATGCTAGCACGACACGGTTTGTCGAGACAGATACCAGTATCTTTAGCTTTAAAATGGAGTCCGCTACAGCCTCTGAAAGACAGTGCGGAGTGGAAAAGGTGAGGATAACGGTGTGACCAGTACCACCAGAGGAAACGCCCTTGCACAGTACACATAGAAGATCTATTTTTTCATGTTTGTTGCCAGGCAAAGCACCTCAGGAGATATGTTTTGTTTTTAAAATATTGTTAATTTCAGCAATTTCTAAGAATTTACTCCACCTCTACTGATTTCCATTTTAACTCTAGTTCAATTCCTCCTTTGTAGGACGTATTTGAACTCACCGACGATGGAGAGAATGACGACCACAAAGTCGAAGATGTTCCAGCCGACGGTGAAGAAGTAGTATCGCAGCGCCACGATCTTGATGAGGCACTCGATGGTGAAGACAATGATGAAGGCCAGGTTGATTTTGTTCAGGATGTACTCCATCTGAGGCGACTGCTCGTCCGTCTCCACCATCATGGTGATCATGTTGAAGAGGATCAGCACCATGATGATAATGTCGAACGCCTGTTTTCCTGCCAGGTCGAAGAAGAAGCCCTGCAGCGAATTCTGGAGAGAGAAGGAGTTTGATTTGTTATTGATTAATCAACCATTATTTCATCTTTGGCACTTTATTTGTTATGTTTCATATACTTTCTTTTGCAGCTATTACAAACTCTTTCAAATAAAAGCACACTTATCAAAAATTGGCCTTTATTTAGCTCAACACCACAGATAAGGCTTTTTATTAGAGACGGACCTTTATTTCTAATTTCCCCTGTTTTATAAGTATCTATTGTAAAAATCAGCAATCAATCATTTTTAGCTTTACCACCATATATGCTTTGCTAATCTAATCTATATTTTAAGAACTGCCTTTTTAAATTACTTTTGAGTTTTTTTTCAGTTCATGCAAACTCAACACCTTATTGTTTTTATGATAAATTCAATATAATAAACATTCAACTGCACTACTGTACCAATTTTGGACTACAAACATGAAGAAATGCCTGCTTTGGCCATTTATCTGCGTGTGTGTATATTAAAGTGTGCTGTGTGTCGGTACCAAAGGTCTGGGGATGGGCTTCTGAGGTTTCTTGGAGCCCAGTTTCTTCATCGCATTGTAGTATTTCTTCTGCTCCTCCGTCATGAAGATGTCCTGTCCTCCTAAGTAAACAAACCCAGCAACAAGTTCTCTGTTATTTTAACAGCAGCATACATCGACATAACAATGTGTTACTGTATCATGTTTGACTGATTCGTTTCTGCTGTGGTACTCATCTTTCGTTTCTGCTGGTTGAAGTTATCGATGATGACACCGATGAAGAGATTAAGGGTGAAGAAGGAGCCGAAGATGATGAAGATGACGAAGTACAGGTACATGTAGAGATTGATCTCTTTGATAGGCTGCTCCTCGACCTGACAGGAACACACACAGATCACTTTAAAAAGGAATACAGTTTCTCATCTCTCGTCAGCGTTTCTCCACTCGACTCATTTTATCTTCTGTCACTTAATTCCTACAACACTAATCTCATTTAAAAACTTAATTCATGTTCATCTTCACACCTAATTAACATCTGGTCTCACCTAATTTTATTTCTCTCTGTCTCTTAATGTCTTATCTCAGTTTTAAATTTGGAAAACTAACCTTTTCATTGTACAGAATTTTAGTCTGTTAATCTGACACAATATCATTTTACCTTCTATTTTGAATTTAATCTTGTACAATATTTTCATTTCAATTGAATATTATTATTGAATCTCTCGCTCCACCTTTCTGTTTTTTATCTCATCTGGTGGCGACAACAGACCCAAATTCTAAACTTTTCTCTTAAACTTACAGCTCGAGAATCCACCGCTGCATACATGATCTCCATCCAGCCTTTGAATGTTGCCTTGGAAACAAAAAAAGCAAATGATTAAATGAGGAAAAGCTGAACCTGAACCTCAGTTCTCTTTGTTAATGTCACTGCAGTTTGTAGAGCTGTGTGACTTCACATTCAATAATGTACAAAATAAGGTGGACGTCTACTGCAGTGGGAGCCAAATCAGTCTGAAGATGATGGGAACCGGATGAAAACAGATTTCTTTTAAAAAATGGTATAATAAACTCTTAACCCCTAAAAATTATTCACATGAACTTCTCACACCTCCTCAACTTTGCCACTGTGGATTGTCAAGAAGAAAATGATACTGTGAACTTGGTCGTTAGCTCTTCTAACACTGCTGATATGTGTGAAGGACACACTTTCAGCTCCCTCTCCTGGAAGTCTGGGGCTTTTGAATGGGTTTTTGGTGAAATGGTTGGTTAGATTTTGTTCTACAATTTTGTTCTACGACATAAAATACGTCAATAAGCAGCAACAATTTTTAATCTTAAAAAATGCAGCTGCCACTTAACATCTGCACGCCGAACATGGAGACTTATTGACTCACTCGTCCGCCTTCACCCCCAAATTCCACCGGGCTAATAGCGCCCGTTGTAGACAATTCTCGAGATGCCACCAGAAGCGCTTCTCCTCTCTGCTCTGCTTAGAATATGTGGATGGAAGCTGCAACCATCTTGCATCAAGCGGCACGAAAAAGTCGGGGAAAGTTGCAAACTATTCTAACTCAAACTGGTGTAGTTCATTTATAGCCTAATGTTAGCTTTTTACTACTGTAGATCGTATCTATCATAAAGGTGGCATTCTTGATGAGTAAAACATGTATCATAAACTTTTGATTGTTACAGAGCTTATTTTCTGCAACAATCCAAAATCCAATGGAAAAATCCCATTGGATTTTTGTCAGAGGAACCAAGATGATGCTGTAAGTACGTCCTCCCTGCAGCACCCAATACACTAGAAGGATATCTCTACATGGTTAAAAGTATGTGGTACACTGATATGTGATAGCTGCTGCAGCTCTAACAGCCTCCATCCTTCTAGATTCAGTCTTCCCACCAGATGTTGAACCAATTCAGGTTGAGAATACGGTTGTCCACATACTTTTGGCCATATACTGTATGTACTGTTTCAGTCCTTGGCCTGTATGTCGTCTAAAATAACAATCCTTCCAATATCAGTGTAAGAGAGGAACTTGGAGCTCCTGTTTTCCCGTGTCTGTGTGTCAAGTGTGTTCTGAGTTTCTCTGCAGCGCCGTCACCAAGACGACGTCCTGCACATTTCCTGCACTTAAATGAATAACTGAACAAAAGGCATCTTGAACCAACCTTCCCATTTTAGCAGAAAATTAACAGACAGAGAGAGAGAGAGAGTGCCATGGAAACGCTGCTGCTGTTTTTCTCAATGAAAGATCAACAAGTCCTTTCATGGACTTCCTTCCCCAGCGGGGAGGAGACAGAAGATTGAGATAAAAACTGAAGGGAAGAGAGAGAGAGATGCAGATGTGAAGAAACAGACTACTTTGGTCTGAGTGGGCGCCCGCCGTCCATCACTCAGACCTGAAATCAGCCCGTCGCCACGGGATACCACCTGTTATTATTATGGTCTGTGGGATGTGAACGAGAGGGGGGGGGGCTGTAAAAAGTGACAAGCTGAGATTTTTTAACGGATGTGAAGACTGAGTGAACAATCCGACTGCAGAGAGAAAAGTTCAGACTGAAGTTGTTTTCTAGCAAAAACAGTTTAGAAAAGGTTAAGAAGGAACTCAGAGCTGAAATAATTGGATCAATTGGTCAACAGAATAATAATTGGCAAGTTTATACTATTAAATTAACTGTTTAGGTCTATTTCTATTCAAACATTTCTTTGGGCAATTTCTTCTGGTTCCAGAATCTCAGTTGGTGTCTTACAATACGTAATAAGACATTTTATGGATCTTAACAACATCGCCCACCTGCCGGCAGGTTCGACATGCATGTCAACACAAACAACTCCATTTATTACGGTGAGAAACTGTAAAATGATGATCAAACCAAATATTCTACATGTTTTATTTAAGATTTTGCCAAAAAACAAACCAGATCCTGTAAGAACAAGACATTTTGGGATGTGTTTCTCCAGTGAACCAGGCTGTGACCAACAGGCACAACAGTTCAGCCTGTTCGAGTGAGCTGCAGGCTGGTGAGCAAGGACCCAGGCAAACAATGTTGTAATCTTTGTAAAATAAATGAGCAAATTAATTAAATTCTCATTTTTCTTTTTTTGATTTATGGCATATTAACTGTATTCTAAAGCACAAAATAGCATTTTTGAGGTCCAAACCATTAACGGATCCACTGAGAAAATAACTGGGAGATTAATTTGTGGACTTTCTGGGTCACATGTGGAGTAAACCTGATGAGCGTTGATGTGTTGTCATTTATACTACATGAAATTATTTTTATTTAAAAGTTCATGATCACTGGTAGAAACGTAGTCGTACAGTAAGTGGATCATCGAGGATCCAGAACCAGGTGTCCTCAGGTCCGGAGACCGAGCTCGGTAAACTCTCTCCGTGCATCATTTCTGCAGCGTGGTACTATTTCCAGATGCTAATGGAAGGGTTGCCCCCGCCAACTGTTGCCACGCGACCAGCCAAACACATATAGGTGCTGAGCGACTCGTTGCCACAGCAACGGTACTCTCAAGTTCTCAGCGGCTGCGGGTGAAGTAGCAGCACGCCGACTGACAACTTCTTTACCTTGTTTTTCCCCCCGTTCTCTCTGTCACTTCATCGCTCTCTCTAATTCACCAGTCATCCCCTGTTATCTCTCCCCCTTTCTCCTCTCCATCTCCAACTGCTCACCTTTTCTGCATCCATCCCTCATCTGTCCATCTTCTCTCTCCCTCCCTTGTGATGTCTTTCCATCCCTCCATCTGCATCCCTTCCTGTTTCTTTCTCTACATTTGCTGTCTGAACCGTAATTTTCTTTCTCCACTT